TTTTTGTGTAAAAGTTATTTTTGCCTGATTTTATTTTATTTTTTTATTTTTTAATCTTTTTTGAGACAGGGTCTCACTGTGCAGTTCAGGCTGGCCTTGAGCTCACTTTGTAGCCTAGGCTGGTCTCGAACTCACAACGATGCTCCTGCCTCAGCCTCCCGAGTGCTGGGATTGCAGGCGTGCGCCAACATGCCCAGCTTTTTGCCTGATTTTAAAAGAAGTGTGAACATTTTCACAAGCCTTACAGCTACTTCGGACCTAGGTACCTGGCAGGTCCACATCAGGATCCCTCCTAGGCGTGGCTCGGGGCTGTGGGCTCAACTGCGGACCCAGGAGTGAAGCACCTTGGCAAAGGAAGATGGCGAGGTGTGAGCTGGGGCTAAGCTGGCCGTGTTTACCACGGTCCTGGCTCTGCGCGCGAGACCTAGATCTGGTTGGCTCAGGTTTACCTGGACAGACCGGAAGTTAGCCCGCGCCATGAGCTGGGGGTGTGGCCCAGGGCTGCAGAGGGCCTAGGGTGGGGGAGGCCTGGGGTTCCGGGGTTCCAGTGCAGCGGGAGGAGGACAGCTAAGCAAAGCAAAAAGGAACCTGTAATCCTTGTACTCTGGGAGGCTGAAGCAGGAGGATCCCAAGTTCAGCCTGGACAACTTAGAGACTTAAACAGAGGCCCTATCTCAAAATAAAAGCTCCACCGTGCAGCAGGCTCGGTCCTGGGGGGGAGGGGTCCCCAGGTGAGGGGACCACGCCCACCGTGTACTTCCCTCTAGGTTCCAAGATGTGTCCAGAGTTTCCACAAATCAGAAACTAGAACCTCTGGTGGAAAAGGGGAGGGGTTGTTTTGGGGGACGGGGGTCTCGGTGGTACTGGCACAGAAGCTCGCTTTGTAGCCCAGGCTGACCTTGAGCTCACAGCAGTCCTCCTGCCTCAGCCTCCCCAAGTGCTGGGATGACAGGCGGCACTACCGGGCCTGAAGGTGAGGCTTTTCAAGGAAGAGGGGCGTCGCAGCGGGAGGGAGGGCGGAGCAGTGTCCAGCCCCCGGCCTGCAGGGTGGTGGCTTCCTGGGGCCCAGGGCTATAAAAGACGTGGCCGCCGGCTCCCAGGCCTTTCTCTCGCCCGGGGTCAGCTCTGGCGCCAGTAGCTGAGAGTGAGTATCGCCCTCCCGCTCCCCTCCTCCAATCCCACCCCCACCCCCACCCCCTTCCCGCGCATTCCCACCGCGGCCCAGCCCCTGCCGAAATCCGCAGTTTTTCCCCTTTCACCTTTTTAAAGATTTTTGTTCCTGGTACCGGCCCGGACACAGGGCCGCCCCACTGAGTGAGCTCCATCCCAGGCCTAGTTTTATGTTTTATCCTGAGATAGGGTCTCCAAAAATTTCCCAGGCTGGGCTCCAGTTTGCTATCCTCCTGCCTCGGCCTCCCTGAGTGCTGAGACTCTAGACATACGCCACCACACCTGGCCTTTTATTTGGTTTTTTCTTTGAGACAGACGCGCACTGTATTATCCCAGGCTGGCCTTGAAGTCACTGACGCTCCAGGATATCCTGGAACTCATACCAATCTTTCTGCCTCAGCCTCCTGCGCGCTGGGATCACAGGCCTGCGCCGCCAAGCCGCGGCCTTTTTTTTTTTTTTTTTTTTCCCCCCCTGGAATCAGGGTCTCCATCTGTAATTCAGACTACATTTAACTCGAGGAGCCCAGGCTGGCCTTGAACTTAGGGCGATCCTCTTGCCTCAGCCTCGAGGAATACAGACACCACACCCGGCTTACTTTTTAAATCTTGAGGCATGGGCTCACGAGATTGTCAAGCTTGGGGGCCTTCCCTGCCCGCCCTGGCTCCTTAGCAGGCTCTACAGCTGTAAGCTTTCTGATCTGCTGACTCTTTCCTAAGCTTCGCTTTAGGGATGTTTCGCCCTGACTTGATTACTTTCTTTCCGAAACAAATTCTTTAAATTCCTCGGGGCAGTTCTGCCCTGGGTGCGATCTTAGTGGAGTGAGTCCAGGTTTCTGTGTCAATTAGTGCATCCTGCGGTGGGCTTAAAAGCTGTCAGCGTGCTCTAGCAGACACCAAAGAACTGAGCTCCTGGCCCGGGAGACGGTGGGGGCCAAGTGGAGAGCTGGGTGATCGCGGGGTGGGGCCCGGGCGTCCGCAGGTAGGGCTGGGCTGGGGGAGAGGTTCTCGGGGCGACCTCAGTGGAGAGCCAAAGTCCGGCAGGCAGGGGCCTGGGCGCCGGGAGCCGGAGGAGCGGCCCGTCTCGGTGTGCGCCACTCGGCCCAGAGGCACTTTCTGTGGGCACGGTCCGGAAGTGCTACCTTGACTGAGTGGCGCCCGCCGAGGAATGGCGTTATCTCCCGCCATCTGCGGTCCAGCCACATGGTCACCAGTGCGTCCAGGTCACGTGGAAGCTGCCGCGCTGGGATTTGTGTGGTGCTTTTCCGTCTCCCTTTGGGTCTGGTTGTTTCATTTACATATTATAGGGGGGGTTGAGACAGGGTCTCACTGTGTACTTGAGGCGCTCCTCCTGCCTCAGCCTCCTAGGTGCTGGAATTACAGGTGTGGCCGCCGGTCCCGTCCCAGTTACGCCAGGCTCGCAGTAGGGCTTGGCCCGTGCGCTTCCTTTACGAGACTCCCTGCTTCCTGTCGGAGTAGCGAAAACACTGCTTTTGTTATCTGGGGCCTCTGGTTGGATCCTTCAGTGTAAGACTCAACAATCAAGTAATTCTATAAGAAATGCATAGGAAAAAATTGTATTACTGAGCATGCGCGGGCTTTTCCCGGTCATTTAGGGTTCCCAGGCGGGGCGGCTAGGCCCGCAGCTGGGTGCGGCTCAGTCATGCGGGGTCTGGTCTGCGCGGCGTCGGGGCAGACTGTCCTGTGCCGCGCTTCGGGCGACCAGCAGGGGGCGGGTGTGCTCCTGCTGTCCTGGGGCGGCAGCTCTGGGGCGCACACCCCGCCCCACCCAGGGCTTGAGACAGACACTCCAGCTCCCGCACCGCTGCGGTTAAAATTACTGGCTCTGCTGAGGTGGGCAGATGTTTTTTCTTTTTTTTTTTTTGTGGCACTGGGTATTGCACCTATGTGGCCTGGGGCACTGTGGGATTTTAGGGTTTTTTTGGGGGGGAGGGCGGGCTCTCCCTGTGCAGTCCAAGGTGGCCTGGAACTCCCAGCAGTTCTCCTGCCTCGGCCTCCCAAGTGCTGGAGTTACAGGCGTGCGCCCCCAGGCCCTTCTGGCGAGGTGTTTTGCAAATAAATTCCTGCCCTGCCAAGGACAGGAAGACGCGGGAACTTGCTTGGGACCCCCCGCAGCCTCGCCTCGGCCCTGCACGCTCCCCCACCCTGGCTGCGAGCGCGCTGAGGACCTGCGGGTCCCTGCGCCCTCCAGGTCTCGGGCTGCACTCTCGCTAGTTTCCAGGTCCGGTGCGGCAGCAGGAGGAAGCCGAGCTCCCGGGCAGCACTCGAGCAAGCAGCACTTTCCGTTTCTCTGGCGGGGAAGTGCGCCTTTCTCGAGCTCCGCCCTCTGAGACAGTCGCCGAGGACGAGCACCCCGGCCCACCCCGGCCGCGTCCAGCAGAAGCCGTCTTTCTATACCGGCTGAGCCTCCACAGGCCGTGATAGCAATGACAGGAGGCTGAGACACTCCACTCCCCTTTATCCGCCCCATAGAAGAGCCGGGCTCACCCCCTGCACCACCCGGTCCGTCCCCCCACCCCCCGACCTCGCCCAAGCCTCCGTGCTCCCACTCAAACCCAGGTAAAAGGGAACAACTGTGACAGCTCTGACAGCGGTCCTCCACGCCAGCAGCCTGTTCTCTGAGCCTACAGCATGTGGACGTCAATAAAATGTGGGTGCCGTGTTCCTCACTCTCCTGGTGGTTTTTTCTGCGGTTGGGAGTCAAACCAGGGCCCCTTGGATGCCAGGCACCGGCCCAGCCGGCTGAAGGAGGCGGGGGAGATTCAGGTCTCCAGCCACTAGGCGGCGCGCTGTGCCTGCTGAGCTGCCCTGGTCGGTCTGCGCCCTGTGGGTACCTCCCCTGGGCAGGGGGTGACTGGGACTCGGGCTTCTGAGCAGCCTGGGTGAGGGAGGGGACAGGCGCGCCGATGTGAGCCACACAGGCGTCGATCCACTCGTGGGGTTCACAGGACTGGGGGGACGTACGGCAGGACAGGGACTGTCACATACACTGGTTCCTTTTCCTTATGTCGCTGGAGATGGGGGGGGCGGGTTGCACAACCAGAACAGCGCTACAACCCCCGCGGGCATCTTCCCCTTTTGAGACAAGTCCTCACTTAACTCCCCAGGCTGGGCCCAAACCTGCAATCCTCCCGCCTTAGCCTTCAAGAGTGCTGGGGATTGCAGGCTTGCACCAACACGCCTTGCTCCGCTGTCCCAGTTAGAGGAAGCTAAAGTTAGAGACCAGATCACAGTGACAGACACGTCACAGGCAGTGGCAGCCAGGCGTTCAGCAGAAATCAGCCCGGCCACGGGCAGAATTAGAACCCAGACCCTGCCCAGGGGGGCAGGGGAACAGCTGGGAAGGGCAGCGGCTCACAGGATGTTACAGTGGGGCCGGCGGAGTAGCTCAGGTCCTCCTGGACTACAGGGAAGTCTTGGTTCCCCGGGGGCAGGGGCTGTGCTCAGGGTCGCCCACGGTGACAGGAGCCGGGCGCAGCACACAGGTCCAAGGCGGCGGCCACAGGCAAAAGGGGCGGATAAATCAGGCTCAGGATTTCAAGGCCGACAGCTCTGCTTTAGGTGCCCCCATTGAGCTCCCGGAATCCCCTGTGCTCTGCGCTGGGGCATCGGCGGCCTCCTAGGCTTTTGTTCCTGCATTTTCTACCACTCGGATGGAGGGAGCGGAAGTAGCCGTCACCCGTGGCCGGCCCTGCCGTCTCTGGTCAGAGGGAGGGAGGACCCAGGGTGCAGCCCAGGGTGACCGAGCCCCGGAAGGGGCCAGCTCGGGGCGGCTCTGGGTCTATGGGCTGCTGGTTCTTGCCGAGGTGAGGACGGATCGGGGAGGCGGTGGATGGGGCGGGGGAGCTGTGATTTCTGCATGAAGAGAACATGGAGCCTACCCTGCCTCTGCCTGGGGGAGACCACGGCCAGACTCGGGGCAGGCAGTTCCTCTTTCTGCGAGCTGCTGATGCGGCAATCTGCTGATGTGACAGCCCCCCACTCCCGTGACCGGGGGACCCTGCGTTGAAGTAGCCACACCCTGTGTGTGTGGCCTCTTAGGCACTGTGGTCTGCTTCAGCTGTACAGCCGGGGCCAGGGCCTGAAGGCGCCATGATCCCCACCTTCATGGCCCTGCTCTGCCTGGGTGAGAGGGGCGGAGGGGAGGGGACAGCCTGGTCTGGGAGGGACCCCCATCCACAGCCAGGCCCTGGCCCCTCAGGAGACCAGGGCTCCGGAGGCTCCGGGGAGGAGAGGACCTGCCCAGGCTCCAGGGCGAAGCTCTTACAGGGAACTGTCTTCCAGGGCTGAGTCTGGGCCCCAGGAGCCAAGTGCAGGCAGGTGAGTGTGTGCCCAGCTGTCCTGGGTCCTCCTCCTGGGGACAAGGGGCCAGCTCTGGGCAGTGGGGATGGAGCACAGCAGGTGTGCACTGGCGCTGGAGGTCTGGAGGGTCCTGGGGCTGACAGCTGGGGTCTGAGGGGAGGAGGAAGGTCCTGGGGCCCGGCTGTGATTTCCCTGCAGGGACCCTGCCCAAACCCAGGCTGTGGGCTGAGCCGGGATCTGAGATACCACGGGGGAAACCTGTGACCCTCCGGTGTGAGGGGATGCTGGGAGCCCAGGAGTACTTTCTGTACCAAGAGGGAAGCCACGTGCCCTGGGACAGACAGACCCCACTGGAGCCCGGGAACAAGGCCAGGTTCTCCATCCTGTATATGACCAGCGGCCATGCAGGGCGCTATCGCTGTTTCTATCACAGCCCTGCCGGCTGGTCACCGCACAGTGAGGCCCTGGAGCTGGTGGTGACAGGTGAGGGGACACTCAGGGTCCCGGCCCCAGGCTCTGCCCTC